ATAAGCTAGCATTAATTATTATCTTTTAAATAATTTTCTGTTATATAGGTAATGCCCTTTCACTGAATAAACAGTTATGTGACTATGATGGTGGTTTCTGTGGAAACTATCCCATCTTTCTCGATGAACTTGATATTAAGGATACCAAAGTAACAATTATGTTTTCATAATATCTTTACAATATGTTTAAAAGAAGTATCGTCACAAATGAGTTAAAATCAATCAGTTTCTTCCTCATCATGGTCACCTAAAGTATCGCTTTATTCGTTTTCTTCGAAAGACGAATCGTCGTCCACCAATTCATCAAACCATGTGTTTATTCTTCCTCAGTACAAGAGACTCTGCTTTGTCAAATGAGTATCTATCTTCATCCATTACTCCATTATTTCCTCTGCGATTTTTGAGTGTATTGAACTGTTTTTATTCTAATGTGTGAGATATACAAAAATGTTCAACATTTGATTTTTCCTCTAAAATATTCTACATGTATGTTAGGACAGAGACATATAATACAATGTATTATATGTCTCTGGTTAGGATCAGCTCGTGAAAATACTTTTTTTATAGTTTAATTCATAGCGTTATCCCAATATTTAAGAATGATTAATTGTTGGTTTATTTTTTGGGGAGTAACTTCTCGTTAGATTGATTTGAATTAGATGTTGCGATTAACTGTGAACGTAAAAAAATATCCCCAAAATAGGATATACAAAGAGTCACTACAACGGAAATCGTCAAACTGGGCTGTCTTTAAAACTGGTCTTAAGATTAGCTCGATTTGTCTTGGTCCCAGTAAGGATTCTACAATGTCAAAATTATCTCGCAATTACAACACATAATGTTTTCAATCGCGAAAATGGAAGCCATTGAAGGGATGACGCGCTGTCAATTTAAATTTAGCTCTTTAAAACCGACAACTTTATCCACACAGCATCATTACCATTCTAACATGACAGTTGTATTTTAAAAGACAAATGCATCAACTACCTATTAAGCATCATGTAATGCATCAACTACCTATTAAGCATCAAGTAATATTCTTTACAAAGCACACAAATGTCAGTATTCACCTCAACAGCTAACAAAACCTTTAAACAGACTTATTAAGAAGGGATATAGTTACGATACTGTTGTCAGGTCATTAAAGATTGCATATTTTGGCTTTAATATTGATTCACTTATAGGGTCTTTGCATCGGAATTAAACACATGTTATATTTATAGCATAGTATTCCGAGTTAGAAAAATAAACTTTCGAACGCAAAGCGTGAGAAGTTTATTTTAGCTAACGAGGAAGGCGTTGCTATAAATGATTTGTGACATGAATGACCCGCCCATTAAGTTATAGATTGAAAAGACGACAGTCCGTGCAGGAAAAAAATCATCGTTTAGCGGGAAGATATAATAAACCGCAGTGTCTACATATTTTAGGAAGCACGGCAGACGTATTCCCTTTCCAGATTGGCTAGACATCGAAGGCGATGATTTAGTTCTCTCTCAGGTGTGTGTGTGTTTTTTTAAAATAAATTTCGATTGATTTGCGCTTATCGTCTTTTTTTTTTTTTTTTTTTGCTTTAAATCGGAACTCTGTAAATATTTACTGGGATGTTTTATTTTAGTACACATTTCAATTATGTCGATCATCTGATTTATATTCCCTTTATGGGCCCTGTAGTTTTGGAAATAAAAATATTGTATTCTATTCATATGTGGAGGAAGAGCGTATTGGCCATTCCAGTGATAAAACGTCAAAGGACCACACCGTTACAAATACTAAAGGGGTAGTTCAATTTTCAAATTACAACTTCAACTTAACTCACTTTTATATTAACTCTGCATGTGAGCAACATTTCATTTTGGTATATTAATATGTCGGGTTTTTTGGCAAATATACGTTCTGTTTCAGAAGTGACAGAAGTTATATTTATTTTTTTCGACCACTTCTTGAACTTTAGGAGTGGGCATTATATTTTTTGTTCTCTTGCCTAACGGAAAAAGCCTGCAGAGATTTCCTTCAATTTGTATTTTTTATTTGAAACCTATTAAAATTGACATTTATACGTGTGCTTTCTTGTAGGCGTAATCTTTTCCTAAGGAGGCGGAGCTTACTCATGCAATATTGGTTTTAGTGTTGTTGGTTATTGCATGGCTGTTTTCTCATCGAGTCATATAGGCCCATGTGACTTTTCATGCAATATTATTTGTTTGCTTCATTTTAAAGCATACATTATGGTACATGTTTGTCGTCTCTATTTAATTCCATAAAAAGATCAAAGGAAAAAAGAAGAATCATGTTACAATTATTCTTAAACCAGTTGTTGGCATGACACGGGTTATGTTCTTCTCATATATTTTATGACGGTATAATACTAAACCCCTAACAGGAGGGATTGTGCCTAATATTCATATGATGAAGACATAATCTTTCAATCAGTTTAATTGAGGTCTGGAGCTGGCATGTCAGTAACTGCTAGTAGTCTCTTGTTATTTATGTATTATTGTCATTTTGTTTATTTTCTTTTATTTCATATTCTGACATCGGACTCGGACTTCTCTTATACTGAGTTTTACTGTGCGTACTGTTGTGCGTTTATTTTTTTTACATTGGCTAGAGGTATAGGGGGAGGGTTGAGATTTCAAAAAACATGTTTAACCCCGCCGCATTTTTGCGCCTGTCCCAAGTCAGGAGCCTCTGGTCTTTGTTAGTCTTTTATCATTTTTAATTTTAGTTTCCTGTGTATAATTTGGAGTTTAGTATGACGTCTATTATCACTGAACTAGTATACATATTTGTTTAAGGGCCAGCTGAAGGAACCCTCCGGGTGCGGGAGTTTCTCGCTGCATTGAAGACCTATTGGTGGTTTTCATCTGTTGTCTGCTCTGTGGTCGGGTTGTTGTCTCTTTGACACATTCCCCATTTCCATTCTCAATTTTATTTTACGCATTTTGTCAACTTAAAACTATTGTTTGATTGGTTGTCAGGGTGAATTTTCGAAAGTTCAAAATACATAATTAAAAAAAAATCATATTTCATGGAAAGGCGGACTTAACCATTTCAGAGGTTGAAGACGAATAATACACACAAAAAAATAGATTTTTTTGTAGAAATGCATATTTAAGAACCACTTGTAAAGTCTGTCGTCCAGAGCTTTTTGTTCAAGTTTTATATTGAAAATTTGTTATTCAAACACACCTACTCTGTTGTTATTACTCATAAGAAAAGGGTGTTGCTATTAAAACAGTGGAAACGGTCAAACTTTGTGACAGTCAACTCAAACACGCCTGAACATAAAAAAGGTGTACTTGACTTTCTCTTTTCGATGAGATTATTACCTATTTTTTGGATTTTTTCCAAGAAAAAAAACTGTTGCCGGGGGCAGAGATGCAAGTCAATGCTTTAAATAGATTAATCTTTTATCTTTCTGATGATTTTTTTTTCGGCACACAAAGTATTCCCACCTACCATTATCGACTGTTTAGTGAAAATTTGAGTTTAATTTAAAAGTTTATAAGGGAGCTACCATTTGATTTTTATGGGGGGGGGGGGGGGGGCTAGGATGAAAAATTTTGTCCTGCCTATTTATGTTTCCCTCTATACGGTCCTGCCTTTTTTTTATTTTTTACTCTATTCGGTCCTGCCTTTTTTTTTTTTAGTTTATCCTGACTTTTTTTTTTACATAAATTGTCATCCTGCCTTTTTTTTTGCAAATAATCTCATCCTGCCTTTTTTTTTACTCAAACTCCTGTCCTGCCTATTTTTTTCAAATTTCATCCTAGCCCCCATAAAAATCAAATGGTAGCTCCCTAAATAACTCGAAGGCAAGCTCCATCATCAGTCAGGGATAACATGGTAAACCATGACTATGATGAATTAAGTATAAACAGGAATATATAATTAAGGATGTTCGCTACTCTGTTTCAAAATAACAAGCTTTTTAAAAGACTGTTATTTATTGAAACAATATGAATTAAGGAACTAAAAAATAAGAAAAAAACGATGGGTCCGTGTGCTTGTTTTCGACATATAAGCTTTTGAAAATTTGGCGGGAAATGATTCTCTCTAGATTTTTCATACTATTAACGTTGTCCGCTTTTCTCTTTTAAAAACTAAGAAAAATAACAAGGATTTTGTAAGATTTTCAAATATGGCTTTTAAAACTATATGTAATAAAATTATGAAAAGAAAAGTAGGGGTTAGTGGACAAAATTTTTTAATGGCGAAACATGGATAAAACCAGAGGATTCCGAAAATCTGGCAAAATTTCAAAAACAAGAGGAGCGAACATCCTTAAATTTCTTTTCGTTTAGACTTTGGGTTTTCCCTGTGTTATAGTTATACTATTTATATGTTCAAAACTGGTTAGTGAGAGTAGTTGTATAACGGGTTCTTGTTTTGGGATATAAATATATATGAGTAATATATACACGTGAAATACTTTGGCGGATTAAAAGGTGGGGTTCCGTTGTATTATATGGAAAATTTGCGGGTGTCATTTCATCGAAAGTGCTCACAGTAACTACGACAGTCAGTTTGAAGTTTATTGTCACATACTAATGTATGATTATAATATCAAGTCTGATTTCAGTCCATTTAAATGTATTGGACAATTGTGTTTGTACTTTAAATATTGTTATTATAATATGTTGGTTTATAATATTATTAAACATTGCTTGCTAGAAAAGAGAAAAGTTACTGCGAGCAACTAAACCTATACGTAGAGTTTTGTTTTATTTATATACCAATGATTTTAGTAATGAAATGTTTAAAATTCGGACGAGCATGGCGAGGGAGAATTTAAGATGCAAAAATCATGAATTAAGCGCCTACATTAAGTTTTTAAAGCCCATATAAACAGATGTAAACAATTCAAATATACCAACTTGGCCATTTCAACCTGCTCTAAAAAAGAGTTCCATTTGGTTTATTAAATTTCAACTGGATATAAGTCTGGGTCCGACTTGTCTTTGGTCCGAGTTGTCATCTATTCTAATAAATGATCACATGACCACAAAATGGTGGGTGGTTTTCCAGACGGAAGTTGATTAAGTTTATGTTAATTTTGTTTTTAATTTTGGAGCACAACTAATAAATGAAAATGGTAATGTAACTACAGAAAGAATCACTACTCAAGATTACGCTCTGCATCAATACGCATTATTTTACTTCAAAATTTGACAAATTTCAAGTGCTGCTTCTCAGATACAGTGCACCATGTCAGAGGACATGCAAACTGGTGATCGCACTTACAGAAACGAAACGCAATCTTTGTTTCGGACTGCAGACAATTATCTATGGTTATATTGTGGTTTAATCTGTCATTAACCATTGAAAATACATATTATAGAAACTCTCGCAAATGTCCTACAGTCTATATCTCGGCATAACCTTACAGTCTAACTTAAAATGGAACAATCACTACGACAACATCATATCAAATGCAAATAAATCTCTTGGCTTTCTGAGGAGAAACTTAAAAGTATCAAACACTAATATCAAATCCCGTGCATACCAATCCATAGTGAGACCAAAACTTGAATATGCCTGTAGTTTATGGGATCCGCACACAGCAGAATATAAAAATAAGCTAGAAATGGTACAGAGGCGTGCGGCCCGTTATGTATGTAACAACTACCACAACACCAGTAGTGTTACATCGATGTTCAACGAACTACAATGGCCCTCACTCATTGAGCGTCGCCTCAAAACCAGACTAATCATGTTCTATAAAGTCATACATGGACTCATCGCAATTCAATCACTAGTCCTTATACCATCAGATACTAGAACAAGAAAATTACATACCCAAACATTTCGGCAAATATCCACCTCTAAAGACAGTTACAAATGGTCATTTTTTCCGCAAACAATCATTCAATGGAACATGTTACCACAAGTTGTGGTAGCATGTCAAACAATTGAAACCTATAGAGATCAGTTGACACCAACTGTTCTCCACAACATAAATTATTTCTATAAATACCAATGTACATATTTTTAATCACTTGTTGTCTTTGTTTCATGTAAATATCACCAAGTATTCTACAAATTTAAAGATAAATTTTTGTTCATATATAATTTTAATCATATACTCCGCGCATGCAACAGTTCGTAATCTTCAATATAAATGAAGCTGTAACTGTATACCAGAAGAAGAAGTCGTAGCGTCAGAGAATTATGGTGTGTCTTTAAATGCCTCATATGTACAATAAAGGAAGACTCTTTCTGTAAAATATTGATGGCTCTGAAAAGTGGCATTTGTGAAAGTTTTTCTAAGCACCAGATGGATTTCAAATAATTGTTTTTAGTTACTCTATATATGGACTGCAAACCCAGCCATTGTATTTTGTTAAAACGTCAGTGACATCATTTTGTGGGAAATAACTCATGTAAAAATTAAAAGGTTCAAAGGGTTATTTACATATGAGTTAAAGGGTAATTCATTATTGATTTTTAGGGTTATTCCAGATTCCTTGCATTTAAATGTTTAAATGAAAATTAACCAAATTAGTTCATTTGGATCCTGTATACTGGTATATTTCGGCAGTTCCGGGATACGGTTTTTATTTGAATCTGTCATATGACTTCTATCACCACATGACAAAAATGTAGGCATCGCCACATCCAACACATGTTGAGCAAACGGGTGAAAAATTTGATTTTATTCTGCACAAAATATTTGGGAAATTAAAATCTAATAAGATGATCATCCTGCATCAGTTGTACGGGAATTATGATTACGTACTTACGGAACATAAATTATTTCCATACTACCCTACAGAATGACAATTATGAAAGTGCTGGAAACTTTTAATAGAGCAGGGATACAGGCGCGCCTTCTATCTGGTAAATGAAGTTATAAAAATGATAAAGGCGTGCGAAATTGACGATTTTTTTCTGGTAAAAGACATGATTCCAGAAATGACGATCAGATTTTGGTGGTTATTTTAAGTCATTGGTTATTGTGTTATTAAATGAGTGTTTTCATATTAATCCTGTATTATGTTCTCATACAGTCGTACTGGGTCTTGATCCAATACAGACCAGTCAGGAGTAATACTTATACAAGAATTTTTGTTATTTAATGGTACAGGTAAATTATTTTGGAGGTAGAATCATATCTGTTAGTCATTCAGATTTTTTTTACTGTACAAGTAAAAAATCTTATTTCCTTGTACTCTTGAATTTCTCTTAAAACATATAGTTTTACATGGACAATGAAAATCTCATTTGTCTGTTTAATATCTTCAAAATACTGCTCATTTACAAGCCTCCAGGGAGCTTTTTTTTTTCCTTGCACAGTTACTTACAGTAACATCTGTGCACAGCAGATTTCTTTGCTCAGTTCATAAGATAAAAGGTTGAAATCTAATTAAAGATTAATTAGCGAACCAGAAAAATTCTCTTCAGGCATGTTTTTACCTCCCAGAAGTTGAGAGTTTAAGGGGTCATAAAACAATTTACTTGTGTTCGTAAATTTTTTGAGCAGATTAAGGGGAGATAATTCAAACCTTGAAAATCATAAAATTTTCTAAAACAAGTAAATATTACTTACATCTTCAAGTACATGTAATTAAAAATGCCTCATATAAGTATTACAATTGACTGATGACTGTATTTGAACATAATGAAATATTGATGAAAACATCTTATAACATTAAAGTAGGAGGCTGTGATACCTGATATAGGTTTAATTATTGGTGCATATTTGTCCTATATTTATTTTGTATCATTATTTTTCAGTAATTAATAATACATATTTGTGGGAAATCGTATGCTCCTCAAATGCAAAATTGTTGAAAAGCGTATGCTCCATTATCATGTTTTACTAAAAATCTTACACAAGATCCTGTGACAGAGTGATTCTGTAGTTTGATATTCTTTTTGAATTTATATTTGTAACAGAGTCAGGCAGCTTTTCACAGGGGCAAAAATGTCAGGCCACAGCTTGTCACCATGGAAAGGTACTTGTAGCAGCAGGTGTCTCAATGACCAAGGGGAGAAAAATTAGATGGCCACGGCAATCTTTGAAATTCTGTTCAACAAAATTTTCTAAAAACTGCAAATGCATTTCCAAACTCAATATTACTGGGTAAACTAAAACATGCTTGCTTACTTACAAACTGTCATCCTAATTTATCTTTAAGTGATTCTCGTACTTCAAACACTGATTCTGGTATTACACAGTGTGGCACTGCAATTCACTGATGTATCTACTAAAAATGGGAGAAAAGACACTGAGATAATAAACAATTTAGGAAATAAACATGTTAAATGGAGGGATTACTTCTGATTTCTCCCACTTGCCATCAAAGATTTTTTTAGAGTTGCTGGATTTTTTTGGTATGACCAAGTTTTTCACAGTATTTGGATTATGAGAATCATGCAATACTCCCTGTGTGTACTGTAATTCATGAATAACTCAATGTATTTTGTAGTAACATGAGTAAAATGTATTACAAAATAATGTGTGTGATTTACTTGTTTTCATTTGTTATTTTAAAAATAGAATAAAGTCTTGACAAATGAGAAAAATTATTATATAACTTGGCATTAAGACAATATATTCTTTTGTAGCCAACCCAACAGTTATCACCACAGGAGGAACAAGAAAAGTTGTTAGAAGAAGCTGTAAACATTGTTAAGAATCAGTCATTTCAGATGAAAAGATGTCTGGTGTGTAGTATTTATACTATTTATTCTAATTCAATACAACATGTGAAGCTAGTTTTGATTAGGAGACATTTGTTGTCAATTCCACTATAGCTGCAGAACCGAAGCTCTTATGGTTCTTATGATATTTTTTGACAATTTGTGGACCATGGTCATGCTATAATCATAAGGACAGTAAGAGCTATGGTTCAGCAGCTAATTCTACTATTGACTGTAGGAGTGGTTTGCAACAAAGTTTTAATTTTGCAGTCAACATTTCCTTAATATTTCAAATGCTTTATTTATTTTTTTTTATAAATATTGCATTACAAAAGGATTAACACTGTATTTGAAGAGTTGCAACCAATAATTGGGATTTGGACGGTGGCAACTATTCAAATACAGTAGGTTGTTCATTATTGTTTGCAGTTTTTCGCTCCTACGAGGTCCAAGATATTGCAAATTATTTTATGAATTTACCATATTTACATGTACCATTTCAGACCTATCACCTCAACTGTATCTAAAACTGAATAAACTTTAATTCTTAAATAATTTTTTTAATAAACAGAAAAAGTAAAGGTACATATTTCTGATTCAAGCTCCTCATCAATGATAATGACAACATCAATGTTTAGAAACTTCATACATGTATTAAAATAAAGAAATTTTATAAAAAATGCAGTCTTACCAATTTTCTATTGAGTTTGTTAAGGTAATGACAATATACTGTGTAATTTCATTTATTTTCTTGGATTTATAAAAAATTGTATTTTCATGAATTTCCCAAAGTTTGTTTACACAGCCTTTAGAAAATGTTTGCTTCGTTGACTATTCAAATTCTTTGTTTACCTATACCAATGAAATCCACAGGAATTGGTATCCAACAAATAATGATGAAATCACAGTATATGTTCCTTATCCAGAATTACAGTTATGTGTATATATTGATTTAATTTGCATTACTGTTCTTCTTTCAGGACAAAGGAAAACTAATGGATGGTCTAAAACATGCATCAACTATGTTAGGAGAACTCAGAACTTCTATGCTGACACCAAAAAACTACTATGAATTGTGTATCCTTCTAAAAGTTCTAACATACACTTTGTATGATTATGAGAAGTGTTGGGTAAATGGCCAATGATATATCTTACCACTTTGAAACAACATAATTCATTTTTATTATCACAAGCTGCTTTTACAAACTTTTTTTTTAATTAAACACGTCTTTGAATATAAATATTTGCAAAGCAGACAGGTTGGTAGAGCAAAAGGTAATTACGTTCTTGTCCTTCTGGAGCATTAATAAGATTTTAAAAAAAATCTAAAAGAATTTATGCATAGCATTTTATATTCTATCAAAAGATATAATTATGATGATACCTGTAATTAAGAAATTGAGAGAAAAAAAAAGAACTCAAGATTTCTTATATAAACTTGTTTTCATGAATTATCCTTCCCTAACATATCATAGATATGGCCATTTCTGATGAACTTAGGCACTTAGAACTATATTTAGTGGATGAATTTCAAAAGGGAAGAAAAGTGGCAGATTTATATGAATTGGTGCAGTATGCTGGAAATATTGTTCCCAGATTGTAAGTAAAGTTTTTCCCATTTTTGAATTAGCAAATTAGATTTACTCAGCCTTTTGTTACAAAACATAATATTAATAAAATAAAGCTTATAGCAATTTTTTTTAACTTCAGTATTTTTATGCCCCACCTACGATAGTAGAGGGGCATTATGTTTTTCGGTCTGCGTCCGTCCGTCCGCCCACCCATCTTTCCCGCTTCAGGTAAAGTTTTTGGTCAAGGTAGTTTTTGATGAAGTTGAAGTCCAATCAACTTGAAACTTAGTACACATGTTTGTTATGGTATGATCTTTCTAATTTTAATGCCAAATTAGAGTTTTGATCCCAATTTCACAGTCCACTGAACATAGAAAATGATAGTGCGAGTGGGGCATCCGTTTACTATGGACACATTCTTGTTTTTAAATTAGCCTTTGCAGTTTTTTTCCCTAGAAATATTTTGAAGGATGGGATATTGACTGAAAAGATCATGGTGGTCATGAATTTAGAAGGATGGGGGTTAAATAAATAATTTGAGGCTTTATCATGCATTAATATTCTAGGGGAAAACACTGCATTGTATTTGTAGAGATTGAAATCTATCTGTTTGTAATTTGGCATTTAGAGTATGAAGGACTATGGGTAATTTGTACCCAAAAATAAAAAAAAGCATTGGTACACTATTCAGTGTTTTGGATATTGTTAACAAACCACAAAATTTTAGTGAATTCATTTGAAAAATACCCAGAATGCTTCAAAATCTGACATGGTAAATTTTCAAAGACCCAATGGCTATAAAAATAAAAGGAAATAAAGACTAATGGAGCAGAGATATAGCTGAGAACCTGTCTGATGACTTTTTTGTTTCATTTTCAGATATTTGTTAATAACTGTTGGAGTTGTATACATTAAATCCAATGAATTATCACGGAAAGACATTTTAAAAGATCTGGTTGAAATGTGTCGTGGTGTGCAACACCCCCTTAGGGGCCTCTTTCTCAGAAATTATTTATTACAGTGCACAAAAAATGTCTTACCTGATGTTGAGGAAGAATCAGCAGGGTAAGTTAAAAGTATCCTTCTTGTTTTATTGGTTTCTCTTCACATAAGTTGTAATGGCCCATTACATGGCTAATCCGGTAAAAAGACCTTTTACTGTTTTATGCATTAAAAAGATATGGCGAAAAATTATCATATATAGAATTAAGAAGATGTGGTATGATTGCCAATGAAACAACTCTCCACTAGAGACCAAATGACATATATCTAAGCAACTATAGGTCACTCTAGAGACTTCAGCAATGAGATAATCCATTTAGCATGTAGTAAGCTATAAAAGATCCTGACATGACAAAAAGTTAAACTACAAAACAACATCCTGATTAATGTACAAAACAATAAACAAACAAAAATTATGAAAGACAGCAACCAATGACAACCACTGAATTACAGGCTCCTAACTTGGGACAGAAAATACAAAATGTAGCTTGGTTAAACATGTAATATGTCAATGAATGATAGTATTCATAGGAGCTGTTAGCAAATTATTTATCTTTTAATTACCCTCATGTATGTTCCATTATGAGAAATATGTAATAGTTAGTGATGAATATCAAAAGTTTACCAAACTAGGTGTTCTTAAATATTGATCTTGTTGTCTCTTTAGCAATATAAAAGTTCAAAAAGGCAAGGTTAACATTGTAAATTTTCAATTTATTTCCATGTTGTCTACAAAAAAAAATTATCCTCTTTTTAACAGAAAAGATAATGAAACTGGAACAGTTATGGATTCTATAGACTTCATATTGCTGAATTTCTCTGAAATGAACAAACTTTGGGTCCGTATGCAACATCAAGGTCATTCAAGGGACAAGGTCAAACGAGAACAGGAAAGACGTGAGCTCAGAATCTTAGTAGGAACAAACTTGGTCAGACTTAGTCAACTTGAGTGTATTGATATCGATAAGTACAAAAAGGTTGGTATATTTGACAATAGAAGAAAATATTAAAAGTGAACTATTTTTAAATGACTAAAAAAGTACCAATAAGGTTAATACATTATTTACAATGATTAAGTATTATCTTGGTTCAACTGAAAAATTGCTGCATTCATGATATGAAACAGTGACAAAAATAAGTTGATTTTTACTGAACTTGTATTGTGAATGAAAGAGTTTTGAATATTAACTTAAAAAATAGAGTTCACATTATGTATTGATCAAGTTTTTATTGCTGATTTCATTTTTAGGTTGTATTACCTGGTGTATTAGAACAAGCTGTCAGTTGTAGAGATCCTATTGCCCAGGAATATCTCATGGAATGTATAATACAGGTAATCTCAACTTCAAATCTAATGTTTAGGATTTCTAGGTTTATGGTCATGGCCTTTCATTGATTTAAAAAACTTTTACAATGTAAAGTGACAACAACATGAACAACTTGATTATTTCTTTAATAGTTCAAATATAAGTGAAATAAACTAAATCAGTGACTACTTCATTTCTTAATTATCTTTATATTTTTATTAGGTATTTCCAGATGACTTCCACCTACAGACCTTAAATTCATTCTTAAGAGCATGTGCAGAATTACATGAAAGTGTCAACGTGAAAAATATCATTATATCTCTTATTGACAGGTAAGTTATGTAGAGACATAAAAGATAATTGTAGTCTAGTGACATTTGTCTAAAATGAACACCTTTTGAACTGACAGTTGTGCTTGATTGATACAGCTTTGTTTACACATATTGAATGAATATTCATTATGTGTCCTCATATCGAATTTCAGTTGTATGCAGAATTAAGTTTAGACTGGTTTAACTGTATAGTGTATATTGTTATGGCTAAAATAGCCAAAGATCTGTTGCTGTGCAAGACAGTCTAGTTACAGTGGTCTAAGTTGACTGAAATAGAAGGATGCAGCATCCAAAAACAGGTTGAATCAAGTGCTCTGTAAAGGTAGAATCTTGATACACCTCTTAGAAGCGTCAAAGAACAAAAACAAAATAAGTCGATGCTAAAGACTTTTATATTTCTATTGAAATAATGATATGTCACATCTAAAAGTATTTTTTGTGCCCCTGAGACAAAATGTCTGGGGACATATTTATTTACCCCTGTCCGAATTAAATACATGGTTTGTCCAGCTATCTCTTCCCACAGTTTTTAAGGTACAGCTTTGATATTTTGTAGGTTATTTGTATACATGATAGAGGTGTGCATGTCCACAGGATTTTTATTTTTTCCAAATATTCTCAAAATGCCAGGTATTTGGACTTTTTTTGGTACTAAATGTCAAAAAAGAGGGGGTGGGTTGATATTCGCAAAAACCGGCAGATAGACTTCATTTCATTCTCACTTGCTATATTATCGAAAACATGGGTTGTACTACTACAGTTTAATGTCCCTGATTCAATAGATAAGATTTTTAGTATTGTCAAATATTTTATCAATACCGGTAAGTTGAACTTCTTGATCACTTGAAATAGAAAGTGAACTTGGACGGTGATTACTAAAACTGGAAAGTTGAAACCTTTTGGCTGAACATTAAATCCTGCAAGTGTAGACAATCAGAACAAAAATAAAGATAGATCATACATAGTGTTAAATTTATAATTTCTTATGGTGAGGAGGAGGCATCATTTGTGTCTTACAGACAGCGCAACAATTTCAAGTTGTACAAGTTATACTTCAACATCACTGTTTGTCAAATCTAAAGTATGTGGAACTACATGTATACTCATGCATATGGCAAAGCAGAGGGGGCATCGTCCATATCTAGTTTAAATAAAAATTTATAATGATTTATCGTATTAAGTTTACACTATATATGTCACCCCAAACACTGTACAAAAAGTATCCCGTACAGTCAAGCTCTCAGAGTAAAGCGGATTTGCTCCTCTGAGGAGGCTGTCACTAAAAGGTTAGAGGAACTTAGCGGTTTTTTGACCAAACGAGGTTATAAGAAATTGGACATAGATAAGGGATTTGCGCGTGCTAATAACAACAGCCGCAATGACCTATTACAGTACAAACAGAAGAGGCGCAACAAAATAGTTCCGTTTGTTTTAACATACAATCCCGCCTTCACTAACCTTTCACGTTTGATCCGTGCCAATTGGCAAACTATTGCCAATCACCCAAAATTATCCAAGATCTTTCCCAATCCTCCTGTCTTAGCTTTTCGGAGACCAGCAAGTCTGAAAGACTTATTTGTGAGAGCTGACGTCCCCCCCTCATAAAAGCTGTTCAACTGCAGGATGGTGCAAGTCGTGTGGTAACAGACGATGTCTGACTTGCCAACAAATACTGAATACTCAAACATTTACTTGCCACTCCACTGGGTCTGTGTACACTATATTTTGTAATGTAACTTGCAAAACACAGAATGTTGTATACCTTCTTCAGTGTCGATGTGGCATGCAGTATATTGGCGAGACAGAACAGCCTTTCAACAAACGCATGAATGGTCATCGAAGTGACTACACCTGCAAGCCCAACCTCCCTGTAAGTCGTCATTTGAGATCACCTGGGCACGCCCAAGCTGATCTCAAAAACCTTACAATCACAATCATAGACCACAACGAGGGTTGGTCAAGGGCCGAAAGACTTGCTCGGGAAAGGTTTTGGATAAGAAAGCTAAGGACAGTTTCCCCAGAGGGCATAAATGAAAAAACATAGAATAAGTCACTCATTTTCCCTACCATCACTCATTTTCCTGACATCATTTGTTTCTAGTTACTCCGGCATCTTTACTTGACTCTTACAGTTTTAAGGATTCTTTTGGAATTTTACTAGTTTAAATACCAGGGTTCTTTTCATTTGGTAGGGATATACAAGTACGCATCCACGTCCAACTTTTAACCTTAGCCCAAATTTACTATTATTTTTTCTTTTCATTATAAAACTGCTATTTATTTGGAATGATAAATACGCAGCCTCTGTTTGTCATATTTTACCAGCTTATATCAATCAGTGCTGTTCTTTTGGGAATGTATTTATAAGCAGCTGTTGTAACATCTTAACTGACGTCATTTTGGAATTTTAAAGTTGTGCCAGTTCATATCTATAATTACTATTTTCATTTTAGGCATGTCTTTGAGTCGTTTTTTGGAAATTTTAAAAATTTATTAGCGTCTCTACATATGATGTTCGGGTGAAACTGTTTCACTTTTTTTTCAGAATAGATTTATCTGATTCATTTTACATCGTGCTCATATTGATGAAGGATATCTGTTATCCGAAATATTTATAGTTACATTTGTTCGTTTATTGTCATTTTTTGGTGATGTTGTACCCTTTTAGACTGGTTATATATTATATTTTGTAGTGTACTGTATCATATTTATATGATCCATCGCCCCGTAAGATTTATCGTTGGCTATTATTCAGTCATTTTATATATATATATATATATAGATTCTACCACTGCATCGAGTGTGATACGATATTTATCCACTCGAGACAGTTAAATTTTCAAATTTATAACGCGAGACTCGCCGAGCGTTTTAAATATTTAAAATTTAACTGTCGAGAGTGGATAAATATCGTATTACACGAGATTTGGTGGTGGAATCTGTTTCTCTAATGATTTTCAAACAATACGCAGGCAAATTTATTCCTTCTTTTCGAATGATCTGCAAAAAGATGTGTTCTTTCTATGTGACGTCATCAGGCATGGTCGCCTTTTTTCATGCCATCACAATAGGAATTTTAGAGGAAATCAAGAAAATTTGACATCATAATCGGATTTTAACCAATGAAGGACTGAGATCAAACGAACCACACGTTGATTAAATTTTTTTATACAATGGGTGCAGAAAGGGATAAATTGACGAAGAATTAGAGAAATATATATATATATATGTATTAACATTTGTACCAGTATTATTTCTTTTATATTTTAAAATGTAATGACAACATTAACTATTTTGTGTATCTTACAGGTTAGCACAGTTTGCACAGAATGAAGAAGGAACTGGTATTCCACCAGAAATACAATTGTTTGATATATTTTCCCAACAGATTGCACAAGTTATTCAGGTTTGTTTGGTCATTTAATCAAGAAGTAACTTAATCAATCCACTACATGGCTGCTCATTACTTATTTTTATTTTGACACATATTTAAATTACCAGGTTTTCTGCATATTGATACCCTAAATTAACAGCATCTAGACAACAAGTATGAGTAAAAGGAAATGTGGGGTATACTTCATTGAGACAGCAAGTCATCAACACAAAAACATCTATGTCAACATACCTACTGTCTTCTATAATTAACAGATGTCAATATAATATATCAGGCTGTAAATTGCCCCGAGTCTAAAAAAGTGTTAATACTGTAAACAAACTAATTAAGTGAGCAATTTATTGACTTTACTTTCATGAAAAAAATACAACATGAATATAAATCGTCGCAAATACGTAAAACATTGAACTTCTCTTTTCTTAATACATTAACAAAGTCACAAAATTTCAAAAAAAGATAGCTTGGAAGTGGGATAGCAAATACTAAATGCCAAAACAAGTATCCTTGAAAAGAGATATCTATGAAAATTAGTTGGTTAACAGTAGATTAAAATTAATCAAAATCTTTGGTTAATATATATTCAAGATTTGTGTTTAATATACAAAATGTACATACAGTGTAAGCAAAAGGTAATAGAATGAATAAAATGACCTTGAGAATAACTGGTCAGAGGTTTTGCAACTGTGATCATAAAATGTGACTAGTGGTCAGAAAATTGTGATAATAAATACAGATATTATTCTTTTATTCTTTTATTTACTATATATAAAATTATCTGACCTTATAAAAAACTACATCTCTTTTTGAAAAAAATGTTAACGACTTTGTTCTCTTTGTTTTAGAATAGACCAGATATGCCACCAGAAGATATTGTTTCTTTACAAGTAGCTCTGATCAACTTAGCTCTGAAGTGTTACCCTGATAAAGTGGAATATGTAGATAAAGTCTTAGAAACAACAGAGGAGATATTTAACAGACTAAATCTTGATCAGTAGGTTTAGATTGATAATCAGTCAAATATATCTTTGATAAACCTAAGAACAAAAGAGTATACCAACTGAAAACAAAATTGGAAATGAATATGAATATAGAGATCAATATCATTGCAATTGGTCAGTCCAGAAACAATCATATTAACTTTTAAAAAAATATTCCATCATTGGAAGGCCTTTATGTGTTTGTTTACACCTACATATGCTGGTATAAAAGCATTTTTTGACAGAAGTATATTTAACATTTTAATGTGAAAATTGTTTAATTCCTGGACAAAATATATGATTACTATAACTACATCAAATAGTGTTTTAAAATTCAATATGAAAAATTAACTCTTAGCTTTTGAAAATGAATCATACTTATTTAACAAAGGAGTTGATTCACTAGCTCTCAATTTTGGCCCTAAAAATCTTAAATTCTTCAATGGGCAAGGAGTGGCACCACATATAAAACCATAAAATAAGGTAGAAAAAGGTGACAAATTTCTAGAAAAATGGAATAAACTGAAATCAATTATTATTTCAAGCTGATACTTTAATAAAATATGCAATTAGTTATGAATCAAAAGTATAAAAATATGACACTTTTCAGTTTTATATGTGAGAGTTTTGGTCCTTGAAGGTAGACCATCATATAATTAAAGAAAAACGTTAATAATTAGAAAACATGTGTGTTAGTTAAAGAAGGAAATGTAATAAACTTATTTATAAATTATCGAAAAAGTAAGGATAAGTTTCAACAGGACAACAACTTATTCTCTTATATAGCTGTATATATCTCATTTTATTCACACTGTATATCTCATTATATTCAGTAACACTTTTCAGAATTTATTAAATGACATATGGCTTTGGATATTGTTGACTTATAATACTAATTATTTATTTTGTTTCTTAGTTTAGAGCATGGCAGTCCAGTATCTAAGGAGTTAATAAGACTGATGAAGATTCCAGTGGATACCTATAACAATATACTAACAGTTTTACAGTTACAACATTTTGGACCAATGTTTGAGTACTTTGACTACCAGAGCAGGAAGATCATGAGTTGTTATATTATAAATAATGCTTTGGAAAACGAAACCCTCATACCAAGTCAAGAACAGGTAAAACATTTACATGCAGCATTTAACACCTTATATAGTATGCATTTTCATGTTTTAACCCAATCTTTGCAAACCGAGTTCATATAGCATATTGGATTAACTGAGCCTTACAAAATGATCTTCTTTGATATTTCTTTCAATAAATGTGTAATCATTCAATTATTACTTGGAAGTGTAATCTGAAACTTTGCAGGGATAGTTAGTAAACGTAGTTGAATATAAATATATAAGAAAATTGAAAAGTTCTATCAGTATTTTGTACAGTAAAAGTAAAATATTATTACATCTTAATATATATTTGTATATTTTTGATAATTCATGCAAATTAAGATTGTGTTTTCAAGTATCGAATTGAAAACCAAGGTGTAGTATAGTTTAAATAAGTCTTAACATCAATGCAATTCAATTTTAATCAGTTTTTCTAATTTGTAGAATTATATGTTAAATCTATGTACTTTGAAAAAAACATATCAGTTTTGGTTAAAATATGTTTTTAGAATGGGTTTTACAGCCATGAAATAATAATAACTTTACGAAAATAGTAAAATTGCCTCACATCTTTACTGTTTGACTGATGCATAATAAGAAATGGTATAAAGCAAAACCCTTGCCCCAGATAGATAATCACATAGGATGTATTATTTGTGTGCATCTTTTTCTCTTGCAAAAAAATTGCAGGGCCAAAAAACTCCAAAATGTACTGTCTTGATTCATTGAAAATATATGTATTAGGAAGTAAAAGCAAAAACTGGTCAGTCCAGAGTCAAGAGTTCTGTGTCCTGGAAAGATGACATTGTCTTCCTGTGGACAGTAACCTTGTGAACTAGCATTTTGAAAATCTTACTCAGCATGTCTGTCTAGTATAAAGCATTTTCTATTCAGGAATATGCATCTAACTTAACACTAACCCCTGGACATCATACTGCCATAATCATCACAAAACGATATAAAAGAGGGATTATCACTTTTCAGTTAGCATCTTTTATTTGTTGTATTTGATAGGTTGATTCCATCTTAGGAATTGTTAGTGTTCTAGTCCAGGACCAATCAGATCAACCAGAGGAAGCAGATGACCCAGAAGACTTTGCAGAAGAACAGGGAATCATGGGAAGATTTATTCACTTGTTAGAAGCAGAAGATCTGAATCAGCAATATCTAGTAAGAAATGTTTATAGAAGAAATGTCACTGAATGCAGCAATATTTCTTTGCAGTTTATATAGAATATATTGGTAGACTCATTTTCTTTCTGTCTGAAATTAGTTTTTTAGAGTTATCTGTCCTTCACATAGATTCTATATCAATTTTCTAAATTGTAATAACATTTTGCTGCATTTTATAAACTCTAAAAATTTCAATTAGAAACCTGTTCAAGGCTGTTCCATGAAAACATACATTGGAAGCTGGGAAGGCACTTCAAAATCTCAACTATGGTGGAGATTTTTTACAGTGAAAATGTAAGAGAAATTCTAAAATAACCTCTATATATGGTAACCACATTTTCAAAGTTCTGTCCCTGAGTACCATGTATGTATTAATGGATCAACAACTCTTACACAATGAGGATCAACTTACTTTGACAGAAGAGTTTGCCTGATATAGCTAACTTTATTTATTTCTTTGCAGATTTTAAATACAGCACGGAAACATTTTGGTAATGGTGGAGACAAAAGAATAAAGTTTACATTACCTCCAATAGTATTTTCTGCATACAGACTTTCTACGAAGTACAGAGAGATCCAAGAAGAGGTATTTTATTTGAATCAACATTCAATACTTCATCAAGAACAGAATTCTTTATTCCTGACAAAAATGGCATATACATATGATATTTAGTCAGCTTCATTAAAAATCTTATGAAGTTCATGCGATTCCCTCATTTTTTTTGTTTTTATGCCCCTGCTGCGGTGGAGGGGGCATTAAGTGTTACCCTTGTCCGTATGTATGTCCCTACGTTCCAAATTTAGTTTCCATTCTCTAACTTTAGTTTGCCTCAACCAAATGCTATAAAATTGATACAGAATGCTTATTAATACAAAACACAGATCAAGTTTGAATTTGGGCTGTGTCACTTTTACTGTTCTTGAGTTATGTCCCTTTATAACGTTATATGCAAATGGGGGCCCCATCATCTGTGTCCCATGGACACATTCTCCATTTATTTTACCATGATTACTATCTTCTTAGTGGATATATACGAGATTTGAACATCAGTAAACTACTGTTGCCTCTTTTTAATTTAAAAGTTTCATAAAAAGATTATTTAACATTCATTTACCAAATTTTGCAGAATGACCCGAAGTATCATCATAGGAATGTCATGTAGACTGACCTTTTGCTTTCTTTTTTAAGAACAGATCATCTTATTCATTCATTTCCATTCAATTGAATTAGAATAAAAAAAGTTAAAGGTCAATACTAAATACATGTACTAAAATAAATTAATAATTTTCCACACTTGTCTTGTGCATACCTGATGACAGTTATTGCTAAAACTCACTAAAATCTGGAAACTTTGTATAAATGGTGTAAATTTGAAAAACAATTGACAAAAGGACACTCAACTTCAATTCTTGAAAATATATAATTAAGATAAAAATGTATCATTGTATATTGAATTCACGCTTTATTCACGTCACTCTATATATATACAAATTGAGTATAATAAAGTTATTAAACTGCCAGTCTAAAGATTCAAATATTTGTAAAAATGACAACAACTGTGTTGATTAAATAAAAGAAAACAAAAATATTGTTTCAAACAAACTGGTCACGGTTAATATATTAAAATGTTCATGTGTGTTAATTATATTTTAAACACATGAAACATTTAATTTTGATATATTAACTGTGAACAGTTTGTTTGAAACAAGATTTTTGTTTTCTTTTACATTCTGCATCTATATTCTGATGGAAGAAATTTCGATATATATATACATTATTTAGGTCATTTGACTTTTCTTTTCAATATGAATTTTAGTAGAAATTTGGAATTTTCTTTTCAATTTGATTTCAGGATGAAAACTGGGAAAAGAAATGTCAGAAAATATTTTCCTTTTGTCACCAAACAATAGGAGCTCTGATAAAAGCAGAAATGGCAGAGATTCCATTACGGCTTTATTTACAAGGTGCCATGGCAGCTGGACAAGTAGCATTTGAAAATCATGAAACTGTTGCTTATGAATTTATGTCACAGGTAAATTAATGATGCATTGAAAAATATGAAACTGTTGCTTATAAATCTAGGTCACAAGTAAATTAATGAAGCCATGAAAAATCTTGAAATTGCTGCTTATGATTTAATGTCACAGGCAAATTAATGATCTCTTTGAAAGTTTAGTTTATATGCTACAGAAATATGATTGATTGATTAATTGATTAATTGATTGAAAAAAGGCAATACTACAGAGAACGCTTGATATTATAGAAAAAATAATATTTTAATCTCAATCAAAAAAGAGTAGTATGTTTTCTGATTCCCTGCAGACTTCTACATTTTCCCAACCTTGTGTTTATTTTCTGATAAATTATGTATGGTTTGTTTGTTCTCAAATCAGCAGTGGTTGAAATCAATTATAATGTTGAATTGCTTTGTTTTTTTTTTTAAAACATTACCGTAGTGAGGATGTGGAGAATATAGCAATTATGCTTTATTTAAAAAATATAACAACTTGTAGCAGAAAAATGTTTCAATGGTGGAATATGTATATTTGTGTTAAATGAAAGAACACTTTTGCAGTTTTAATATTCTACAGAAAAACAAATATCCATATCAAATCTTTGTGCTGGTTAAGTGAAAGTTGTAGTTGTAAAGTCATAACAAATATATTTGTTGTTTACAATACTAACAAAAAAATTATTTCCCCAGGTAAAAGTTCATGATCTTACTAAAAGTATGGAGGTCTTTAATTTTCTGCTTACTGAATTTCACACAAAGTATTATATAAATTTCTGGATTTTCAGGCTTTCTCTTTATATGAAGATGAAATAAGTGACAGTAAAGCTCAGTTGGCAGCTATTTCATTAATAATAGGAACTTTAGAACAAATGTCATGTTTTGGTGAGGAGAACCACGAACCTCTGCGGACACAGTGTGCTTTAGCTGCGTCTAAACTTCTAAAGAAACCAGACCAATGCAGGGGTGTGTCAACGTGTTCACATTTGTTCTGGTCAGGGGAGTCTGCTGCATCAGAAGGGGAGGTATGTTTAATCAAATAGAAATTAGGAGCGTCCAATCAAAAGGAAAGAAGAGATACTTTCAATCAAAAACAAAGGTCTACTCTGTTGAAAACAGAAAGCTGTTTAACTGTTGCATCTGTTCATATGATGAATATTCATTAATGATGTAACTTGAGTAACTTAACATTGATTAATTCTGAACCATATTTTTAAGTTCAAAATTGGATTGGTCCAGACAGACTTTACTGTTTATACTTGAGATACATTTAATTTCATGGTTTAGGATTCTTCATTGTATTATAAGGTCTAACTGAGAATTTTTTTATTTGTGAAAGATTGCAAAACTTAGATAAAATTTGAAATGTGAATTCAAAAGTATATAATGTTATGAAATTTCAAAACACAATCACAGATAATATGAAAATGTCTGGATGCTAATAAATAAGCAAAACAGAGGATTAAGTCACAACAGTTAAAGCTTTATATAAAAGCCCTTATCCTTTATTCCAAAAAAGAAGAATAGTATATTGTGAGGAAGTGAATCTTCTGGTGTTCAAGATCTAGACATGGTCTTATGACTAAGGCAGTGTTCCAGCTAGGTCGTTTTCACAGGGCGGTCCGCCCGCCCTTTACCTAGTGCCGCCCTGTGCCCTTTTTCTGACGCCCTGTGCCCTTTTTAAGACGCTGTCTGCCCTTTTTCGTATGTCCATGCCTTTATTGCTGTAATATTTTGATGAAAATACAATTATTCTACCTGTCTTCATATTTCTGACAAGTTTATGACCCTCAGCTAATTAACATTTACAGCAGGTGTAATAAGTGGTGAACCTAATAAGTTGTGAATACAGATAATCCTCTTATCAACATCGGATGGGTCATTAATCCGTTAATTAAACTTCATAATTGACCATTGTAATAATTTTTCTCATTAAATTCGGTCAGTGAGCATTTCAATTTCAATATTTCTCAAAAGATGACAATTTGCGTTTGATGTATCCATAGATCGTCTGTTGTTAATATGTCAAAGATTTTTTTTTTTAAATTGATCTGTTAAACTAGTTTTAATCCAGAAGAAAGTAAAAACAATGCTTGACTGTACCTGTCATTGAATATCTATATCCAAATTAAATTAATTAAAGCTGTAATCCATGATCACAAATTGACTGCTTTGTTTACATTTGTTGAAAGCCATGTGCTTTTTTGGCGGGAAAATTCGGAAAGCCCCTTTAACAAGAAACAGTTACATTTCATTGTTATTTATAGACAGTAATATTTTCATATTGATTATTGCGAACCCAATGAAAGTTTTCCACAGTGCCATCTCTATCTTGACCAGGTATTTAAACTTTTGCAAGTTCACCTGTCCTATTGAATGAATACAATAGCTATTGTTCTCCATGTAGTTTTTTCTCTGGGACCTTTAAATTTCTTCTAAGAGAAATCTATCACTCATTGATTAATTTACCTGAGTAAAAAAAACATCTTGTAAATAGAGGAAAATACATGTTTTATACTCAAAACTGCATGCGATGTTATATATGTTTATATTAAACTGAATGAAAATATATTATTAATATTGAATAAATACATCATCACACGCAGTTAATGAGTATAAAAAAAGTATTTTTGTCTATATATAAGAATTTTTTTTTACTCAGGTCCCAGTGAATAAACTACACACAGAAAAATAGCTATTGTATTCATTCAATAGAACAGGTGAACTTACAAAAGTTTAAATACCTGGTCAAGATAGAGATGGCACTGTGGAAAACTTTCATTGGGTTCGCAATAACTGCTAAGATTATTTCATTAAAAATGAATACTTTCTTGGGGTGAAACTGATAATACTTTAATACTCTACATCTAGGGGTGTGTAAAACGGAAAAGTGGGGGGGGGGATTTTTTATATATAATATTACAAATATAAGTTTAACAGTCTGAAAAGACATGGTTAAATGGATTTTAATTCTGAAAAACTCAATGTGGTTTATTATAATTCATTTATTATTTGTATCATAATCAGAAACACTGGGCTACGTGTATTAGGCATTTCAAACATATATTGTTGCCTTTTTAAGAACATTCAAGACTATTAATAAGTATGTACCTGTAGTAAAAATACCCTGGTAGGGCCTTAAAATTTCTACTGGGCCCTTGGAAAAAAGTTTTGGGATCCAGGTTGGCCCCCAGAGAAAATGTAAGGTATTGTTCCTGACTGTATTGCAGATCTAGTGTAGTATTTTAACTGGCATGCACAATTCATTTCACTAATGAAATAAAAAGAATTCTACAAAACGCCGCTGCGCTCTGCATAGCAACTTAACCTTAGACCTACCATGCATCAAAAATGTTCTAGGGAAGACTGAGCTAGTAATATACGTCCTTGCATGGTCCCTTTAATACTGTTACCCAAAATAAGGTTGATTTTCATCTAGAGTAAAAGTTACTAAACCCCCTCAAAACTCCTCACTGAAACCCCTGCAGTAAACATAAGACAATGTTTGACATGCTCTTTTTGAAATATCAATCATCGTGCCAAAGTGCCCTTTTCATGATTGGCTCCCTGCCCTTTTGAAATCCTAGCTGGAACACTGTAAGGTTAAACAGATTAAAGACTTCTGCCTCTGGTATGAGATTGAATGAGATATGATTGCTGACAGAAATTAGGTCACTTCACCAACTTGTGTCATTTCATAGCCTTAAATACAGTTAATGCAATTTTAAAGAAATTAAACATTATTACGTGAATTAAATGTTTCAAATTTTATTCTTATTTATTTTTAGATGAAGGATGGTAAACGTGTAACAGATTGTTTAAAGAAAGGTGTTAAGATAGCAAACCAGTGTATGGATAGTTCTGTACAAGTTCAACTTTTTGTGGAATTACTCAATCATTATATTTACTACTATGAGAAAGGCTGTGATCAGGTGAGAGTCTAACAATTAAAGCTTTTGGAAAATTTTGTTGTTGGGTATGTCAATCTAGCTCGCAATGGTAGTTAACACAAATTCATAGATTATGTCTAATGGAATCCAGAAATCTTACATGCTGTATACTATCCTGTTTAGAAGAATATAAAAATAAGTAAATGTGGTATGATTGCCTGTGAGACAACTATCCACCAGAGTCCATATCACATCAACGTTAGCAACTATAGGTCACGGTACTGCTTCAAACATGAACAAAACCCGTACCTTATAGTAGGTGTTAAAAAGCTCTGACATTGCAATGTGAAATGATAAGAGGAAAACTAAGTCTAATTTATAACAATACAATTTAGAATGCTTATTTTTTATTTAGTATTAGCATATTTGCACAACAAGACCTGTAGGCTAGTTAACTTGGGAATGAGCAAGATTATTTATTCCACCTGGCCCAAAGAGCTATTATGATGTTTTCCCAACTCATTGTGTGCAATTCCAGCATTCAAACTTTAATATCTTTGGAAAGAAGTTCCTTCATAAAACTACTTGGTGACTTGGAAAGAAACTTGACCACAATGTGTGTATACTGTGTGTTGTTTTAAAATAACATCTGATGTTCCAGTCAACATACCTAAATGACCTCATTTAGTATGATAGAACATAAGTAAAGTCGACAAAGTAATAACCCTTATTAACTATCACAGTAAGTATTAAACAGGTCAGTATATAAAGTAGTTGTGTAATCAGGAATTCTTGTTTTCATGGAAATGCAAAATTTACTCCTTCCCTGAGAGTCCTCTGGCATGCTTTATAAATATTATTTTTTATACTTGCATAAATATACCTGATGGCAAAGAGAGTTTATAAATTCTTGTTAACAAAAATGAGACAAGATATAAAACTGGGCATGGATATTAGAAGATATGGGACAGTTGCCAATCATAAAATATCCACCAAATGTTAATCCAATCAATTTTGAAAAGAAGGTTACACATGCCAACACTCTGTAACTATAAAACAACTTGTTTCTTTTCTGTTTTCAGGTGACAGTTCAAGTATTAAACCAGTTGATAACTAAGATAAAAGAGACATTACCTAGTTTAGAAGCCAATGAAGAAACTGAACAGATAAATAAACATTTTCAAAATACATTGGACCATTTACGTCTCAAAAAAGAGAATCCAGAAAGTGAAGGAGTGTCATATGAATCATTATCAGTTTAACAGACATTTAGTTTTTGGGAAATCATACTCAGTTGTTGATCTGTCTTTGGTTTGATAATTGAATACTGTAAATTCAGAACTTATTGTGTGCATTTATAATTACATTTTTTATAGAAAGGACAACATGTGAGATTAACTATTGCCATTTTAAGAAAATCTACAAACAGATATATGTATCTGATATCATAATTTGAGCTCTTATTATTGCAATACTCAACCAGTCGCATTATTCACAATAATTTCTGAATTTACAGTAATGCATACACACTTTGATACAGGGAAGAATGCAAGGACTTATGAAGTCAACATGATACGGGGACAGTTTGCTTGATTAAATTAGTTTATGTGCTTGCCAAACAGTTAAGCTTAAGAAGTGAACCAGCACATGTTGTCAGGACCTAAAATCACTTAACTACTAAAATCTTACTACTTGTTTCTGTTAGACTATACGAGAGACATCACTTTCCCCTACAGTTGTATGAGCCATGATTTTTAATGTTTTTGTACAATATGAATATTGTTTTATTATAAATTAAAAAGTATTGATATGGTTAAGGATCAGTAAACTTTTCGAATCATGAAAAACAAACTTGAGCAAAATGGCCAGAATTTTTTAAGTGTTGGTTCTATTTATTCCTAAGTTGAATTTTCTCATCTGCACATTTGTGCAAATCTTTCTTTATTTTTTTGGATAAACTGCACTGAATAACTGTACATTCAGAATTTATGTGTGCTAGTAATTACAGGGGCATTAGCTGTCAACAACTTTCACTTGTGTAACTATGTAACAGATTTTGCACTTTTTATACTACTATGAATTCATTTATTTTTCGTGGGTATCAATTTTTGTGTTTTGGGGAACACTTGCAAATTCATTGATATTTGATTTTGTAGTTTTGCCAGTGCCAGCATACATTTCAATAGATATTTGAAATTCGTTTAACATTTAAATTCATGGTTCCTCTGTACCCATGAAATCCATGAAAATTAGTATCCAATGAATAAATAGTGAATCCATGTAGTATTTATACTTTAATGCAGTGTAAATAATTACAGCAACTATTTGTCTGCATTGCAGTGTTGATTGTATGTGAATATAGATCAAAACTGAATTAATTTGTTTCGGACTCCTGCAATACATATTTATTGAGATATAAGACACTTGTAATAAAATTTGATGTACTTTCTTTCGTCATAAACAGGAGTATGTTTTCCTTCATCTGTTTTAGCTGTTATTGTTGTCTGTGTATACAGAATAAAATATTTAGAAATACTTTTTATATTATTTATTACTACTTCTTTTATTTTGCCATGGCTTCCTTTAAGTTCTTTTGACCCTTTTACTTAATACTACACGTAAATAGGCAGTGATATAAATGGTAAAAATGTCCAAAAGACAAAAGTTGGAACTTCTTAAGTACTTTAAGTTCAATTTTGATGTTTTTTTTTCCTTTAGATTCTTTATGAAGTTTCCGATTTGTTTTGTTCAGTTACGATATATTTTATCAGATAAGAAACTAATTGGGGTTAAAGGGACAATTAAAGAACTGATGTAAAGATTGGTTTTTGAGATAGATTTTTTACATTGAATTCAACAAAAAAGAAATGGTGATTTATTGTTTAAGAAAAAGATAGCCATCTGTATACTAACAGTGCATTATCTTGCTGTACAGTAATTCTTGTAGAATCTTATCCAGGACATTATATTCAGTTAACAGACAAAATATTTTGGTTTCAGATTTCTGAAAGTAGAAAAGGAAAATAAAATCTGTCACGAAAGTTCCTTGTTTCAAAATGTTAATGTTCTAAAGGTATCACCCAGATTTTAAAGATGGTGTAGAATTCTGAATTAAAGACATATTTGGCAAAACCTTTTGGAATTTTGGGATCTCAATGCTCTTCACCTTAGTAGTTTATTTGGCCTTTTTAACTTTTTTGAAAGTTTAAAGTACCATTTTAATCATCTACTGATTAAAAAAGAACATCTACTAAAATTTAAATATATACTTTCATATATGCTTGAGTTAGTAATTGAATACAATTTGATACAAGCTACGTAGTGATATTAAAGTGCATTCCCACACTTTTAGCTTTTTAGTTTAAAGGCCATGTGAGCTTTTTAGCATCACTTGGCATCCATTGTCGTAAACATTTAGAAAAATCTTCTCTGAAACTACTTTGCAAATGTTACCAACTTTACCTGAATGTTCCTTAGAGAATCTAGTTTTAAAATTGTATCAAGGGATTTGATCCATCATCAAACAAGGTCGCTGTTGCTAAAAATAAAACATAGGAGAAAATTCCGGTTTTGGGTTATATCTCTAAAAATCAAAGCAGTTAAACAAAACTGACAATGGGTATAAATGTTTAACAGGTCAAGGTCTATCTCATTTGGAATTTATCAGAAAATCAGTTAACCAATTCTTGAGTTTTGGCATTGAAATTTTTTTTTTCGAAGTTTACAGTTATTATTTTGAAAACAGATACAGAGATATTTTCAACATTAAAAATGACCTGAACAATAAGATTTTCACAGAAGTCAACATGACAGAAATCGTCAATTGACCCCTATAGGACTTATTGCCTTTGAATGATTTTTACCATTTTGCAGTTTTGTTTAAGAAGTTATAGAAAATAGAGGAAAATCTTTAAGTAGTAAAAATATTAAGCAAAATAAGATCTACTAATAAGTTAGCATAGCTGAAATAATCAATTGACCTCTTATAGGAGTTATTGTCCTTGTAAGATGGCTTTAACACATTCAATAATGCATGATAGATTGAGGGAAATTGTAATTAGCAATGATGTTTAGCATACTAAGATCTACGACAAGTCAACAGGCCAAAATCGCCAACTAACTCCTTAAAATAGTTATTGCCCCTGAAAGACCATTTTTACCCATTTTAAGTTTTATTACTGAAACTGTGATAGATAGAGAGCAACAATATATATAGCAAAAATGTTCACAACAAAATAATCTTTGATAAGTCAACATGTCCGTAATTGTCAACCGATTCCTTATAGGAGTTTTTGCCCTTCAAAGACGTCTTTACCTAATTTTGGCGTAATATACAAAACCTTTAATAGAAAGAGAAATTGTTCGAAGCAAAACTGTTCAGCAGAATAAGATCTCGAATTCGCCAAGGAACTATGGCCTTTGAAAGATGACTTGCCCATTTTTGCAGATACCATGATTATAGATAAAATAAACTATTAATAGCAAAAATGACAAGAACATTAAGATCTACAAATAAGTCAAACATGGCTGAAATCATCTATTGACCCCTTATAGGAGTTGTTGCCCTTGAAAGATGGTTTTATTCAGTTTTAGCATTTTTAGCAGAAAATATGATAGATAGAAATTGTAATAATCAAAGATGTTTAGAACAATAAGTATAAATGAGTTGACATGGCCAAAATTGTCAATTGACTCCTTATAGTGGTTATTTTCCATGAGTGATGACTTTTACACAAACACTAAAAAAAAGTGTATGTGTGTATTTGATAAAGAGAAACTTTAAAAAGCTAAAACCATCAGCAAAATAAAATCAACAAATAAATCAACATGTCCGAACTGTCAGACTTTTATAGTTAGGAATAACTATATATCTATACACACTAGATTATACTTAAACATACTTTATTTGTCTGTTAATATGCACTAATGAACTGTGAAAATTTCTATTATTATCTGTAGAGGAATCAGTTCAAGTATGAACAATGTATGTTCTTATTTTCTTGTATTTGCTGGTTAGTCATTTGTTTATTAAGAGTACGTACTGATACATTACCAATAGTCATTTGTTTATTAAGAGTAGGTACTGATACATTACCAATAGTCATTTGTTTATTAAGAGTACGTACTGATACATTACCAATAGTCATTTGTTTATTAAGAGTACGTACTGATACATTACCAATAGTCATTTGTTTATTAAGAGTACGTACTGATACATTACCAATAGTCATTTGTTTATTAAGAGTACGTACTGATACATTACCAATATGCTTGACAACTGTCATGCTTTTCAAACAAATGCATTCAAAGGTGGAAATTTTAAATGGAATGACCTCCACTTAAATGTCAATCTTAATTGACCACATTTGATACCTACTCTTGTATTACATAATTGAACATACACCTTATTGCACAACTCTGTTTACTGTTTGATACACAAATCCTGACCTCATTGGTTGGTTAGATGGATGATATATATATATCATAATGATGACGTATTGCTGTTTAACGGCCAGCTTCAAATTAAATACTCATTGAGAGCATCTTAATGCAATATGAATGTTTTACAATGTTCTTTAGTAAATATTCTGACACGCTGAATTTGACTTTTAACAAGAAAGTTCACATGGAAGACCTGTCACTTTACTATACACGACCTCCACACTTGAGGTGAGAGGAGACCACCGAGGCTGTGTGATTTATCAAAATGATAGATTTTAAGAATTACTTACCTTTAATTACTTTTCATATACACCATATCAATTCATTCTGTAAAGTATGTGCAAAAGATGTAGGATTAAGGATTTGTAATGATTTTTCAAGAATAAGACATGTTTATTTAAATACAGGAAATAATTTTTTTCAATGAAGAATGACACCAATCTAAATACAAATTTGTTACTAAATATTTTGTTGGTTTTTTTTGTGCATTTTCAATTTTTTTACACTCATTCCGTTGATTAATGAAAAAATGATGTACAAAAATACCTTCTAAAATTGAAATGTTAAAAGAATTTGCATTATTGAGAAATTCTCCAATTTTGAGCAAAAACCTTAATAGATGAAAATAACCTTATGCTAACCTTCAATCATTCATTTTCAGTGACAAATAACTTTTATCAAAAATCAATAAACATTTCTAAGATGAGTCAGTAACAAGTATATTAATGTCTGAACATAGAAATATCCCCCCTCCCCCTCCTTTTCCCTAAAGTAACCATTTACAAGTAAATGTAGGGAGGCAAAGACTTTTATTTCAAGTCATAGTTTTTATTAGACTTACTTATGTGTACCTTACACATAAACTGCTTCAATAGAGCTATGAGGAAGAACGACCGAATCGACATTACATGAATTTTACGGTCACAATCACTAATTGTGTCGGTGTCTCAACTCATAAGTGACATGTTTTCGCGGTCTTAGATCTTTTTGATACAAGTAAAGTCGTCTGATTTGTCATTTAACCGATGTTTTCCTTTTCCCAATTGTGACACTTTGACTAAGTGGGAATTTGCATTACGGGTGATTGATGCATGTATAGTAGGAGCCGCTTACCTTGTCGTCGTACCCGGCTTCGCTCTTTCTGGAGTTAATGCGATTCCCTCAGGTTTTTTTTTGGTACCTAGATTTCTTAATTGATATTCAAAATTGACAAAGATTTGATGGCCGATTTGAATGTTTTAATTGTACATTGTCATGAAAATTGTTTGGACAGGTATTGTGAAAATAATTGTATAAAGTTCGAGATTGCATGTTCGTTACGTAAGTGCCATATAAGCGGGAGGTTTGGCTAGCCATAACACCAGGTTCAACCCACCATTTTTTCTTAAAATGTCCCGTACCAAGTCAGGAATATGGCAGTTGTTACCAATAGTTCGTTTCTATGTATGTTGGCGTTTGTTTTTGTTGCACTTCAGTGTTCCTGTTGTTCCTTTGTTTTCCTCTTTTAGTTGATGTGTTTCCCTCGGTTTTAGTTTGTAACCCGGATTTGTTTTCTCTCAATCGATTTATGACTTTTGAACACTGGTATACTACTGTTGCCTTTATTTACAAGGGTTGGTTTTATGAAAACAATATTGAAGATGAGATCAGAATAGATTTCGAACTAGTTAAAATAAAATGACTGTATCACAGCTCATACGATGCTTTGATTTAATCTTTCTCTATATCTAAATCAGATATTGGAGGTCAGGATCTTTGGCTAGTGTGTTTGAAATTTTCAGTTAATCAAATGATGAGCTAATGCTTTCTATTATGGTTTTTGATAAAAAAAAAAAGTGTCGGTCAAGAGGATGATTGAATGGTTTTTCAACGAAAGAAGTCATAAGTTACATAAACGAAGTTTTTAAACGTAGGTGACCATTTGATTATTAAACAAACCCAGCAACGATGGCTTGTTTTTTTTATGCATTTAGAAGTCAGAGCACAGCAATTGCCCTCTATTGTCTCGTCTGCGACATAATTCACATAATGTATAGGTGTGATTATCTGGCTATGATTTATTGTATTAAGCTGAATATTTAAGAGGAAAGTAG